CTTTCTTTCTTTCTTTCTTTCTTTCTTTCTTTCTTTCTTTCTTTCTTCCTTTTTTCCTTCCTTCCTTCCTTCCTTCCTTCCTTCCTTCCTTTTTTAAAAACCTCGCCTCTTTCTAATTGGTTATGCGTCCACTCAAGCTTGGTACCCTCTAAACCTCCAGGAACCACCAACTAAGAAAGAAATCTTTCACTCACTAGACATTTTCATGGGGCAGGGGAATTTGCAAGAGGAAATCTTAAGAAAGTGAACCTGTGCCTTCTCAGGAGAGATAGCTAGAGTTATAAACTTTGTAAGCCAATATCTCATAGATATGTGACCCATGGTCTACATGAAGAAGAGAGTAGCTTTGAAAAGGCTTAGCACCAAAATTTAAGTTTAAGTTTATTCAAAACAATAGGACTTAAAAAAAATACTGCATGGTTTTTGAGTCTTAACTCTGTGTGTGTGTGTGTGTGTGTGTGTGTGTGTGTGTGTAATGTCAAAAGGTTGGACACTCTGATAAGATTTCACTTTCCTAGAAATAAATGGCTCACTATGACCTAATATGACTCTGGTCTTGGGGGTCTGAGGAGATTGCTTTTCCAGTGAAGTGTTTGCTATACAAGCATGAGGACTTGAGGCTAATTCCCAACATCCACATAAAAAGCTGGAAATAGTGGCATATGACTGGTTCAAGAACTAATAAAGCAGAAACTGACAGGTCTCTAGCACTTGTTGGCTAACCAGCCTTACAGAATTTGTTATTTTCAGGTTCCAGAGAGAGAGAGAGATCCTATCTCAAAAGTAATTGAGGTAGACCATTATGACCATTAGAGGCTGTCATCTGGTTACAACATTGTTATACATAAAACAGACACACAAGTGCACCTGAATTCACATACTCCCATTAAAGTTACCTTGATCTCATATGGGTTTGAAGATGATAGTTGGAAAAATGAAACACAAAGATAAATGTTGAGTATTATATAAATAATATAATATAGTGTATATCATATTTATAAAATAACATGTTTATATAAAATAGTCTGAATCACATATTAATATGACAAATACATAATACAGGCCTTTGTCTACAAACAACTACTCTAGATACCTTAGTCTATCATAAATATTCTCAGATCAGTCACATTTATCTGCAGGTGGGCAAAAATCAAATCACATAAAAAAATCCTATATTAAAACTATTGAAATGTTAAAATGTTATATCATCAATGACTACTGTGATGGAAGAAAAAAGAAAGGAATGACTAAGCAGATCCAGTGAATCTTAAGTCAAAACTGACTGCACAAACAAAATCATATTTACAAGCATTTTGGTGAACTATCATTATAATCCTACCAAATATCACTAACACTTGGGTACTCACCAGTCACAAAATAAGGAAGGTCTTTTTACTTAATCCAATACTCCTGAAATATGCCCCCTATTCTAAGTGAGAGAACATTATTGAACTTATTTTTTTAATTTTATAAGTATTTTATGGTAAAATGGCCATTTTTACTATTTTAATCCTGCCAATCCATGAGCATGGAAGATCTTTTCATCTTCTGAGGTCTTCTTCAATTTCTTTAAGAGACTTGAAGTTCTTGTTTTACAGATCTTTGACTTGCTTGGTTAGAGCCACACCAAGATATTTTATATAACGTCATTATAGTGAAGGGTGTCATTTTCCTAATTTCTTTCTCAGCCTGTTTGTTCTTTGCGTAGAGGAAGGCTACTGATTTGCTTGAGTTAATTTTATATCCAGTCACTTTGCTGAAGTTGTTTATCAGGTTTAGGAGTTCTCTGGTGGAATTTTTGGGATCACTTGTGTATACTATCATATCATCTGCAAATAGGGATACAAAAAAGATAGTGGACACTATTCTCAACAATAAGGGAACTTCTAGGGGAATCACCATCCCTGACCTCAGACTGTACTACAGAGCAATAGTGATAAAAACTGCATGGTATTTGTACAGAGACAAGAAGGTATATCAATGAAATAGAATTGAAGACCCAGAATTAAAACCACATACATATGGTCTCCTGATCTGGAACAAAGGATCCAAAAACATCCAGTGGAAAAACAAAAGCATATTCAAGAAATGGTGCTGGGTCAAGTGGTGGTTAACATGTAGAAGAAAGCAAATTGATCCATTCTTATCTCATTGTACAAAGCTCTAGTGCAAGTAGATCAAGGACCACCACATAAAACCAGATACACTGAATCTAATAGAAGAGAAAGTGGGAAAGAGCCTTGATCACATCAGCACAGAGGAACATTTCCTGAACAAAACACCAGTGGCTCAGGATCTAAGATCAACTATAGATAAATGGGATATCATAAAATTGAAGGACTTCTGTAAGGCAAATGACACTGACAACAAGACAAAACAGCAACCTACAGACTGAGAAAAGATATTTCCCAACCCTACGACCATTAGAGGGCTAATATCCAATATATACAATGAACCCAAGAAGTTAGACTCCAGAGAACCAAATAACCCAATTTTAAAATGGGGTACAGAGCTAAACAAAGAATTCTCAACTGAGGAATCTTGGATTGCCAAGAAGCATCTAAAGAAATGTTCAACATCCTTAGTCATCAGGGAAATGCAAACCAAAATGATTGGGAGATTTCACCACACACCAGTCAGAACACCTAAGATCTAAAATTCAGGTGACTGCAGATGCTGACAAGGATGTGGAGAAATAGGGAACATTCCTCCATTGCTGGTGGGATTGCAAGCTGGTACAATCACTCTGGAAATCAGTCTGGCAGTTACTCAAACAATTGGTATAATAGTACCTGAGGACCCAGCTATACAACTCCTGGCATACACCCAGAAGATGCTCCAACATGTAATAAGGACACAAGCTCCACTATGTTCATAGCAGCCATAATTATAATAGCCAGAAGCTGGAAACAACCCAGATGTCCCACAAGAGAGGAATGGATACAGAAGATGTGGTATATTCACATAATGGAGTACTTCTCAGCTATTAAAAACAATGAAGTCATAAAATTCTTAGGTAAATGGATGGAACTAGAGAGTATCATCCTGAGGAGGTAACCTAGTCACAAAAGAACACGCATAGTATGTACTCACTTGTAAGTGGATTTTAGGAAAAATGGCTCAGAACACCCACAACACAACTCACAGATCATATGAAGCTCAAGAAGAAGAAAGACTAAAGTGTGAATGTTCAGTCCTACTTAAATCGGGGAAGAAAATAATCATGGGAGATAGAAGGAGGGTGGGACATTGGAGGGAGAGAGAGCTGGAGGGAAAATGGGACAGGGTTGGGTGTGGGAGGAGACAGGGGAGAAGTACAGAGGGTCAGAAAATTGCACACTGATATGTAGCAGTGGGGGATTGGGAACTGGGGTTAGCCAATAGAAAGTCCCAGATGCCAAGAAGCAAGAAGCTATTAGGACCCTACAGGGGTGACATTAGCTGAAATCCTCAACACAGGGGAGAGAGAACCTCTAGAGATCATATTCAGAAGTCAGGCATGACCCCAGGTTGGAGGATGGGACCACACACTCATCCCAAAAATATTAACACAGATTTGTTCCTGTCTAAAGGAAATGAAGGGACAAAGAATGGAGCAGAGACTGAAGGAAATGCCATCCAGAGACTGCTCCATTTAGGCATTCATTCCATCTGAAGACACCAAACCAAGACACTATTAGTGATGCTGAGTCTCTTGCTGACAGGAGCCTGGTATTTCTGTCCCCTGAGAGGCTCTGCTGGATCTTGACTAATACAGATGTGGATGCTCACAGCCACCTATCATTCTCAGCAAGGGGACCCCAATAGAGAAATTAGAGGAAGGACTGAAGGAACTGAAGGGGTTTGCAATCCCAAAGGAAGGACAACAATATCAACCAACTAGAACCCCCAGAGCTCCCAGGAATTAAATCACCAATCAAAGAGTACACATGGAGGGATCCAAGGCTCCAGCTTATGTAACAAAGGATTGCCTTATCTGGCATCAGTGGGAGGGGAGGACATTGGTCATGTGGAGACTCAATGCCCCAGTGTAGGGGAATGCTAGGGTGGTAAGGTGAGAGTGGGTGGGTAGGTAGGGAAGCTCCCTCATAGAAGCAGGTGGGGAAGTGGGATGGGATAATAGGTTTGTGGAGTGGAAATCAGGAAGGGGGATAACATTTGAAATGTAAATAAATAATATAAAATAAATGATATAGAATAAAAAGAGACAGAATCAAAAAATATTTTATAGCATACCCTCGTTAAACACCAATTAACTGCCCATAGTCTCTCAGTACCAGATAGGGTTTTATGAGAACGTATGTGTACTTGTGTAGCAATGGCAAGATAACCCTTGGTGTGACCTTATTATTGAGTTATTTGCATTTTGGGTGTATATCTGATCATGCAGACATCAGAGGTCAACCTCAGGTATTATTCTTGATTTTTGAGACAGTGCCTCTCACCAATTTGAGTAGATTGACTGCTCAGTGAACATTAAGGATACTCCTGTATTTACCTTTCCAATACTGAGATTATAATTGCAAACACTATGCCTGGCATTTTCATGTAGTTTCTGAGGATCTAGCTGTGGTTTCTACGTTCATATGGCAAGCACTCTATGGACTGAGCTTATATTTCTATCTTAAATGACTGTTAGCTGCGCATTTCAGACCTCAGTTTATCCCTTTTTAGCCCAAAGAACTCATGCTACAAAGAAGATCAGAGGCTAGCTCACCCAAGTGCATATGTGGGACACGTTTGCTGTTTCAGAGCCTCACATAGCACAACCAACCCACTGTAGTCCAAGTCGTTCTTCATCAGGTTGATAGCCCACAGGGTCTTACAGTGGGTTAAGGAAGAAGCAAGGTCCTCACAACAGGCACCAGTTAGCTCACAGGCATCCAGCCTGCAACAAAAAAAGAACACTTCTATGTCAAATTGGTAAGGCCTGTGGTTGAAAGGTAACTTAATCATTTAGTCTAAGCTCACTCCATAGCCTCTGAGGACACTCTTAAAAGTCCAGTGTCTATAACATCAAATTAACCCTAGGTTGGCAGATGTGACCACAGTTGCTCATTCTCAGTATCCATGTCTGTAGTGAACTAATAGTTCCACTAATGATGTGCTGTCCCAGCCCTTGAACCTAGGATAAAATTGTACCTCACACTGGGTAAAAAAGTGAAGCAATTGTTGGTGAATTCCGAGCCTATATCACAAGCACCTTGATACCTTTTGATTTGAACCATTGAGATACACTCTGTCTTTAACTGAACTACATACAATCAAAATCCATGTTTTGAAGTTATAATTCCCAGTGTCCTATGGGACCGAATTTTGAGACAGGGTCTTTATAGAGGCAACTAAGATGACACTAGGGTGGGATCTAATCTTGCATATCTGTGAAGACACATGGAAAAATGAGCCACTTCCAACTCAATGAAAAACAAAAACCTGTAACATACTTCTTGTATTGGTCCTCTAAAGGAACCATCCCTGTTAGTAGCATAATCTCATTTCTAGCATCTACAACTGTGTTTATCATTAAAACTCTGTTTTATGAGCCACTCAGTCTATTTTTGTCATGCCAGCCAAAGCAGTTGCTACATCAGTTAGTCCACTCAAATAAGTCAGTGAGATGTAACCCGGCACTCCTGTCATCTCCAGTGGCCATGCATCCATATATACATCCAACTGTCTATGTACCCATCCATATAACAGCTATTTGACCTATACATGTTTCCATCCACTAATACAACCATACATCTATGCCTGCAACCATCAATAACCAACCAAACTATCCATACAACCATGCATCCAATCATCTATGCATTCATCCAACCAAATATGTATCCACTCATCCATATAATAAACACTTATCCCTTGCATGTAACCCTCAACCATCTGCCCATTTATGCATTCATTCACCAAAATTGACATCCACCTGTATATCCATGCATCTTGACATCTATCCATGCTCCATCCCCTTATCCAGCCAGCAAAAAAGACTTATTGCTTTTAGACTTTAACTTATAGAGTAACTTATTTATACAAACACTGCTGTTATGTTGCCTCTATAGAGTTATGTATTTGCTTTCTATTGTTATTTTATTAGTTTGCCTACATGAATTCTCTGTATGAATTTATATAGAGGCAGGTCCCTTGAAACTGGAGTCAGAGACAGTTCTGAGCTACCTTGTGGGTACTAAGAATTAAACCTGGGTCCTCTGGAAAAGCAGCCAGTGCTCTTAACTACTGAGCCATCTATGTCTCCAGCCCCATATGGAGTTTTAATTTCTTTTTCTATACATTAATTGCCCATGCTTTTGCACCCTCAAAGCTACAGCTATAACCTTGATGACACCTACCCAAGATCCTCTAAGTGGCAGTTGGGATGTTTTATAGCATCACACAGCACCTTCACACCAGCGTCTTCTAACTTATTGTTTGAAATGTGTAGACTGGTCAGGTTCTTGTTGCACCTCAGAACTTCAGCCAGATCATGGCAGCCACTAGTGGTGATGAGACAATGTCTCAACGTTCAAGACAAAATTCACAATGCAGTGGTTACTTCTGTATCTGAAGAGAAAGTGTTTAACAAGACTTTGATGCCTGAAACTTCAGACAGCACTGAGCCTCTCAGATAACATAATCTGAGTGGCCCATAGACAACAAATGGGAGAATACCAAGCAAACTAAGATATTTTCAATGGCCTTGAAGATGAACTGCAATACACTGTAATGAAAGTTAAAATAGGAGGCTGAAAGGGTAGCTCAGAAGTTAAGAGCACACTTCTGCCAAAGACCCAGGTTTGTTTGCCAGAACCCATTTGGTGCAGGTCCTAGGGCTCTGATTTCCTTTTGCAACCTCCTCAGGTACATGCATGCACATGCTGCACTCAAAAGCACACAGACATACAGTGAAGCAAAAATACTTTTAAAATTTAAAAAATATTATGGTAAATAATACTTTTGAGCAATGATTGATTATAGGAAACTCATAAGAAAATGGAGTTGGGCACTGTGGGTAACCCAAAACATGGAAAACAGCTTTCAAGATTCATATTTTATATTAAGGGAAGAAAGATGACATTGTATCACAGCCTTTCAAACCACAAGAATAGAAGCTGACTGGGATACTTGTTGAAACAGCATGTTTTTATTATCTTTGATCCACTTGAGTTATATGATGGGCTTATTTCTGATGAGCCCATTCTGTTTCTGATTTCTGAAATTTCAATGTGAATCTTTTAAGTTACCATTTGTACATAGGTGCCTACAAAGGACAAGGGAGTTGGTCTGGATTCCAAAGCTGGAGTTATAGAAGGTATTGAACCTCTGGACTTCAGTGCTGGGAACCAACCAAATTCCATTCAATACAGCATGAGTTACGTACTGATAAGCCATCTTTCCAGCTCTCACATAACTATTTAATCTGTGAAAATATTTTGAGTATATTTTTCCACTTCATATTCTTAACATATTTATAATGTAGGGTTTTTGAAGAACCATATGCTTTTTACTCTTTTTTCTTTTGAGGTAGGGCCTCATTGTAGTCCAGTTTGGCCAAACCAACTAAAGTCCATTAAACAGTGTACAGTGCCTACCTTAAAGTACGGATGATATACTAATGGTCACTAAATTGGAAAAAAATTGATTTTCTCTCCTCCAACATATTTTAAAATAAAAATTCAGTATTTTTAGAGACCTCAAGTGCTTTATACTTTAACAATACTTTTTCTTCATTCTTTATAGTCATGGGAAAACACAGGTACTTCTAATGTTTTTAAAATATGTCCTATATTATACCTTTAGTGGGTTTTAGATTCTAAACTAGCCAAAGCCATTGTTGGATAGAAAAATAGATTCTACTTTGTGTTTTCATTTTGTGCCTTATCCCCATTCTAGAGAAGACAAAAATGTAACTCTGAGATTTCACAACAGATTAAGTAACATGTTTTACCAAGATACACACAACTGGATTTCTCACCAAAAGCCTTTTGATCATGGAATACTAACCTACTTGGCATGATCAAAACAACTACCACTAAATTATTCAAATCTTCTTGATTTGATAATTTGAAAACAAGGGGACTGTCCTTTTGTAGGACCATAATAGAATGATTTGGTCTCCGGTAGAGCATTGGCTTTGAGATAGCCGGAGACCCAACAGGTGTCCATTACCTGGGTAGGGACAGCACATATCTCACTACGCCCCCAGATTCCAGACTCCAGACACTGCAGTCTATGATCTCCATTTGATCTGCACCTGGCAGTCACATAGGGCTATAGGTAGAGGGTGGGACTACAGGCTTCAGCATCAAGAGATTTCCATATTAATGAGTTACCTAAAGGCCAGAAGGCATGGCTAATTACATTATTCCCTCCCAAATCCTTCCTTCTCCCCCTCCCTATTTAAGCCAGCTCCCCCTGGCTTAAACTGGGGCATGGGGGGTTACACATCTAGACCATCTATCACACACCACGAACAGTAAAGCTTTGGAACTCTGGACTCCATGTGTCTTTTGGGGCCCTTCACTGCGTTCCAGCCACAGGGACCCACATCATTTGTGTTCTCATTACTGTTATGCTGCTGTTCATTATTCCATGGTAGAATTTCCATGCTCAATAACTAATTCACACACACACACACACACACACACACACACACACACACACACACACACACATTTTTGGGTCCTCTCTTCCATGTCTTCTTCATTCTTTGGACATGACATGTCTCCTACAGGCTCCTGTGTTTAAAAACTTAATCCCCAGATGGAGGCATTGATTTGGTAAGTTGTGGAATATTGGGATCTAACAGCGAGTTGTGGGCCACTGATTGTGGGCTTAAAGGTTGTATCCTAGACCCTGATTTGGGTTCTTTACTCAGCTTCCAGATCCACAAAGATGTGAAGAATTTTTATACACACTCCTATTACCAGGAGGCCACTCTATCATGCTTTTTTCTCTTCCAGCAGAGATTAGACCATTCCGTACCATGACTACAATGAATCTTGACCACCTTATGTTGCTTCTGTCAGATATTTCAAAGTCACAGTGACTAAAAAAAAATCACTAAAGACATTTCTATCTAGAATTTGGGATCCAGTTTTTCATATGCTGATACCTATTCATCTTCTAGCACCCCCTCCAAACATTTTAGTCATCCCTTAGACTCAAGCCATAATTCCTTTCTTTATCTTAGTCCTTTGTGTCTATATTCTGAGTGGCTGTCTACCACATACCAAAGCTATGTATGACACGGAGGTCAAGGCACACATCTATCCTCAGGAAAGAGTCTTTAGCAACCTGAGGTGAGTGACTCTACTCTCTATATTCTCAGGCACATACACTAAATATTCTTTAAGAGGGCCTCCAAGGCCAAGCTCAAAGAAACCTACCATAATGAGTTTAGGACACTGTCTGGGAGAGTCAGAGCCCCACAGAGAACCTTCAGTCCTTCATCCTTGAGGTCATTGGAGCTGATGTCTAGATGGCTTAAAGTTTTGTTCCGCCTAAGAACTTCTGAAAGGTAGTCCCAACATTTTTCACTGAGTGAACAGTTGGCCAAACTGTAGGGGAAGAAAGGGTATATGAAGGGGGAAAATATAACATTTATACATAATAACAGTAATTATTCAAGCAAGAGGAAGAACATCTGGCTTATCCAAACACATTTCTCTTCATTTACTCTGACTCACATCATTTCTAGTATTGAAACTGAGTAAATTGATTGACAATGATTATGTTTTGAAGACCTTACCTGATACTAACCTAAATCTTTTATATTAACAATGGCTCTATTGTTATTAACTGGCTCTAATGATGCTTTTTAAAGCTACATGATTATTTTTATATGACAACCACGTACACACACACACACACACACACACACACACACATATGTCTGCATGTGTGTGTGTGTGTGTGTGTGTGTGTATGTGTGGTTTAATTTCATTTCTGTTGCTATGATAAAATATCTTTACAAAAGTTAATTTTGGGGAGATAGGCTCTAATTTAGCTCACTATTCCAAACTGCAATCTCTTATTATGTGAAGTCAAGGAGACAGAAACTTCAAACAGCTGACCACATCACATCTAGAGTTAAGGGTACAGAGAATACATACATGCATGATTAATTTTCATTCATGAATAATCCAGGGCCCAAACCCACGGTAATGGTGCTGCCTACTGTGGGATGGATCTTCACAGATAAATTAGCATAGTGAAGACAATCCCTCACTGACAACCTCATGGGCCCTCCTGATTAGACACTTGAGACTCACTTCTCAGGTGATTCTATATTGTGCCAGGGTGACAGCTTCTAACCATTATAATATGAAATAAATAGGAATACATGATATGAAGAATCACAATCATTGGACTTATTCGAAACACCAAATCTCTCTGCTGAGTTCTAAAGTCTTCCATTTTCTTTCTTGTTAGTCTCCCCATTTATTCCGTCCACAATTACAAGAGCAACACATTCAATATGAAATGAGGTCAAGGAGTTAAAAGGCATTAACTGTAACTGTCCCAGTTGAGAGCCCATTCTGCATGCCAAAATAAGTTACAGAAATAGGTCTGTATATCTGCTATAGGGACTTGAATTCAGTCAAACAGCTTTTGAAATGTAGTACATCAATCCCTTGGAATCTATGGGTAGTAGAGATGAGTGTGGCTGTGGGGTTAGGATCACTGTGGATACAAAATCTCTGGAGGTACTCAAGAGCTGTTTGTACAGTGGTTCAGCATGTCCCCAACTTGTTGTTATCCCCCCATATACCAGTTCCAACCTCCACTAGTCTTTTTATAATATACAATTTAAATATCAACTAACTGTTTTCCCATGTTGACTAGAAAATAACAAGAAAAATAACCTACAAATGTTAAGTTCAGAAGCAATACAAAATGTAAATAATGTGTGGATGTGTGTATAGGATATATATGTTACATACTAGAGTATGTAAAAAAAGGGCAGAGAATAGCTTTGTGGAGTTGGTTTTCTCCTTCCATTTTTACATGGTATTTTTTTTTTAAGGTTGAACTTGAAATCCTCTTGTCTCAGAATCCTGCATAGTTGGAACTACAGATATGTGTGACAAAACCTTGTGTATATGTGAGTAATTGCATGTTTTAAAGACTTCATTTTTAGTTTTGTGTATTTGTCTTATGATATGTGTGGGTCTGTCCATTTGAAGGAAGGCGCCTGTGGAGCGTCTTTGATTCCCCAGATCTAGAGGAACAGTGGTTGTTAAGTGTCTTGACATGAATGCTAGGAAACAAATGGGTCCTTTTGAAAAGCAATGTGTATGTTCTTAATCACTGAGCCATCTCTCCAGCCCCATGTGCTTATATATGTTTCTTAGGCTTTTGCTTTGAAACTTATGCTATGGGACTATATCAATGAGAATATATTATAAATAGTTAAGTTGTCTGTGTGGTGTCACAGAATGTTGTGGTCCATGGGCAGGATTCCTACAGATTATCTTGTTCCAATCAGTAGGTAAACACAGAAATTTATGACAATTCAAGGAAAGGAAGAATGCAAACACATCAAAACACCCTCTGGCTGCATTCTAATCCCAAGGAAAGAGAATATTAGCCCCTTATAGATGCAAACAATACCCTCACGTCACTCCTATCAAGATTCATAGCCAGCTATCCTCCACACAAACACTCCTTTCCAACAGGAAATGTTCTGTCCTTTTCTGTTTTAGAATAAATAGTCTGGTCTTCTGAGATTAAGCACTAATCTTTTTTCCTACCTTCTATCTCTCTGTATTGCCTTGGAAATCTAGCAGTGTGTATGCTGCATGTGTGCTCCTGTGTGTGGAGGCTGAGGCCAATGCTGGTGTCCTCCTCAGTTGCTCTCTGTTTTGTTTGAAGACTGGGACTCACCAATAAGACTAATCCTTGAATTCTTGGACCCACCTATCTTCATTTCTCAGCTCTGGGATTACAAACATCATTTACTGCTGTTATCAGCATAGAAAGTACTCCTACACACTGAGCCATTTCCCTAGACACGCAATAGGGAGATTCTAGTAAACAGAGTCCATGTTCAAACTAGTTCCACATTTCTCCCCAGTGTATCCCACTCCCCAAGGCCACTTACACTAAGTGCTCAAGAATGCAGTCTGGGTGGTACAAAGACTTGCACAGTAAGGATATCCCTTTGTCCAGGGTGTTGGATGCCAAATTAAGATGCTTCAAAGTCTTGCTGTTGATCAGGACAGAGGCAAACATCTTGCAGTCATCAGATAAAAGGTTACAGGCTGCTACCCTGAAGGAAAACAACAACATCATATGCTTCTCTGTCTTTATGACATTTTTCAGTTCCCATGAAGGTGCGGGACTTCACAGAACTTGACATTGTTATTTATCTTTAAAAAATTATTTGTAATTTGTATAAAAATATGCCTGCATGTATATATGTGTATGACATGTGTGCCTTTTGCCTATAGAGGACAGCAGGTGGCTGCCATATCCCTGCAAACTAGAGTTATACGTAGTAGTAAACTGTATACGTGGACAGTGTGAGTGCTGGGACAGAACTGAAACCTAGATTTACCACAAAAAAAAAAACAAGTTTTCATAATCCTCTCAGCAATTTTTCCAGCCCAGTTAAAAATTTACATGTATTTATTGGCTTGTGTGTTTATATGTGTGTGTGTGTGTGTGTGTCTGTATGTGTATGTGAGAGAGAGAGAGTCAGAGACAGAGAGAGAGACAGAGAGAGAGAGAGAGATGTCCTTGAGTTACCAGATGTAATATAAGCTATATTGATAAATTGTGATGTCCTGTTTAAGATTGCTGAAATTCAATGCTGAGAACGAGGAGGGCTTTCCTGTCCCAGACTTATGCACATATATTGCAAATGTCCTCTAAGACTCTTTGTCTATATATGGGTTGGCCCCTCTCGATCTGTAATAAGAAGTGGGGTAAGTAAGCACACCCAAGAGTAAAACCTCTGTTCCTGAGGATGGCTGGAAGGTAACCCAGTACCTACCGAAGTTACTATTGTTTATGCCACAACATAATAACAACTTAATAATGGCATACATCATAAAAGAGAAGGCTGGAGGGAACACATGAGTGGAAAGAAATTTCTACTCTGCCTAGACTTCTAAATGGGGAACTCCAGCAGGGCTGTTTCAAGTCCTCTCCAGTCATTTAAGATGGATTAGCCAAAGCACCTGTCTTGTTCATGTTATTGTAGATATTATCCATCTGCTATTGTTTCTTCTTTAACTTTGGGGTCCAAAATGGAGAACTTGCTCCTCCTCCCAGGACATGAGATTAGGATTTCCCTCTGATTGTTTCAGTGAGGTTTCTTTAGTCAATTTCTTCTGGATGTTTGTAGGTTCTTATATGATGTCATCTTTAGTTTTTTTTCTCATTGGGCAATCCTAGACTTCTCTGATGATGTGTCAGATCTGAAGATAATTTGTTAGCTATCTGTAGCATCTTTTTGGTACTTGCTATTTATTTTAGTTAGTTATTAATTTTCTTGCTATAGCACTCAATAAACTGAACCATTCAAAACAGATGTATATTTATCAGAGAACCATGCAGATTAACAGTACCCAGGGCAGAAAGATAGGATAAAGGGCATATATTAAGAACTGTAGTCCTCCATATTCATTTCCATCTCCCTTTTCTATCTCTATCTGCAACCAGAAACCACTCTCCCTGCCTCTAGTACCACAGTCCCGTCCATTTTAAACTTTATACGTGAACCACATGACATCCTTTTGAATCAAATTTGTGCCACCAACAATACCTGAGATCCATCTAGATATGATCAATAGCGACAGGTTTTTCACCTAGCTTACTATTAGTCAGAATCGCAACTCTCTGGTATGAACACTTGCCATGAATGGTTCAGGTTAGCACCCATCTTCCAGCAAATGGAATCATGCAGCCATAGACAGTACACTCAGCAGTTAGAGTTCCAAGTTCTAAGGTACACTGGGAGTCATGAATTGGATGCAAAGTAATGGTTTCCAAAGTGGATATACCCATCTAGAAATTAACTTTTACATTCCATAATCAGTTCAATTAAAGAAAATTTTCAATTAGATGTACATATTTTTTTGTTTCACGTGTGAGTGTTTTGCCTGTGTATGTATGTGTACCACATGAATACCTGGTGCTTGCACATGCAAGAAGGTATAAGATCTGGTGGATCTAGAGTTACAGATGGTTGTGAATCATCACGTTGGGGGTGAATATTGAATTCTGGACCTCTGTAAGTGCAAAAATAGCTCATAACAACACATTATTTTAAATTATTATCAATTGTATTCATTTATTTATTTACATTTTGTATGCATGTACTATTACATATGTTATAACATGCAAAAGACAATGTGGAGAATGTGGAACAAAAGAACAACTTGTGGAAGTTGGTTCTTTCCTTTCTCCATTTGGGTCCTGGGATAGAACTAGGGTTGTGGGGTTGGCAGCAAGGGCTTTAACCCACTGATCCATCTCATTGACCAGCCATGATGAGATTTTAAAGAGAGGAAGTATACACATGAATAATAGAAAAATAGGACACAAGTGCACAAATTAAAAACTGTAGGCCTGTGATGCTCTTGTCACCCTGACACAATCTAGAGTCACCTAGAAAGGGAGTCTCAGTGATGGATTCTCTAGCTAACGACAGCCTGTAGGCATGTTTATGGGCAATATCTTATTAAAGTTAACTGAGGTGGTAAGACTCAGCCACTGTTGGGGGCACCATTCCTCAGGAAGCAGGATCCTGACCTGTATAAAAGTGAAGAAGGTTAGTTGAGCACTAGCATGTGTGTATTAATCCACTGCTCTTTGCATTTGATAGAGCATATGATGTGACTATGCATCGAGGTTTTGCTACCTTGACTTCTCATGGTGATGGTCCATAGGTTGAAATTCTGAATTGAGTAACCCTTTTTTTTTCTATCATTTATTAGGTCAGAGAACTTTTATCACAGCAAGTGGATCAAAATTAATATGCCTCCTTTGAGGGGAGTCAGTGAGATAGTCGAACACAAAGACTTACACAAGTTTTTCTATGTTGCACTCTGCCTGGTTCAAGACATCACATAATAGTTTCACATCACTGTGGGAGAGGAATGTGAGGCTGAGGTCCAAGTACAGCAAATTGCAGTACCGAATCAACTCAAAGAAAAAGTACTTTTCACATAAGAACACATTATTTGCCCTGCAAAAGAAAAGAGTGGTATCCATCAGTTTCTACTCAGCTACTCAGCCTTAGTTGTCATCTGTGGCAAAATCCTTTATCCCATAATGACCACATAACTCTAATTTTGTAACCCAGTGACACAGCTCACTGGTTCTCAAACTGGGTGATTTTTCTCTTCCATGTGGAACTTTTGTGGAAATGTGTGAAGGCAAGGTTTGCCGTTACATAAGGAAGTTACTAGCGTCTAAACAGCAGAGCCCCACCACCACACACACATACTCTCTCATCATCCTATAGTTCATGGGACAGCCTTAAATGAAGAATGGTCAGCAATAGACATTAGAAGTCAAAAGGCAGTGAGAGTCTACTTTACACTGTACAAGCCTTCATTTATGCAGTTAGCTGAGGGATGGTGGGAAAGCTAGTCTGTTATTTCTGATATATGACTAAAACAAATAGATTTCTAACTTACACAAGTACATTAAGGGTGGAGTTGTGGAATGCCAAATTATTATACAAGACCGAAAATGCTGCTTCATTGAGATAAGTGTCTTTCAATTGGAGTTCCTGGATGTCCTTACTGCTTAAGAGCACAGAGCAAATATGTTCCCAACCAGTGAGAAGCTTTTCCCTGTAACAGAGGAGAAAGGAATACAGTTCACAGTTAGTAAGTTAATTCAAGGAGCTAGAGACATGGCTCAGTGGCTAAGAGCATTTGGCTTTTCTCCCAGAAGAGCTGAGTTCAGTTTTCAGCACCAATATGGTGGCTCACAACTATCCATAACTCCAATTCTAGGGTTACCTGACATAGTCTTCTGTCCACAATGGGCATTGCATGGACACCATGAACATGCACACATGTAGGCAAAAACATTCATAAAGTAAACATAAATAGATGATAATACCTGCCAGCACTTTCAGATTCTACTCATTTACAAAAAGTTATGTCAAGCCATTCACAGCACATAACTGGAGCAAACTAACTTCTATGCTGAGTCAGCATAGCCAGCTAAGGTTATTTTGTGTTTGTAATTCTTAGACATAGACAAGGTCTATGGGATTCTGGCTGGTACAGCTTGAGGTGGAGATTCAGTTAATATTTATTGGGAAAATGTCAGAGGATTCTAAAAATACTACACATTGGGGACCAGATTTGTCTGGGGCTTTCATCTTCCCTCCCCATTCCTACAACAGGATAACATAACCCAGATGGCTTGGCAGTGTCAAAGTTGAGAAAATCTGCTTTATAGATAACCTTGGTAGTTTTAGAATGAAAAAATGAGGAAAGTTGCCTTAGCCACTGAGTCAAAACTTACAGCAAGAACGTTCTGGCTCAGTCTTCAGACGCCATTACTTACTCTTGGATGATATTGGTTACTTCTCTGTCTACCTTCCTTACCTCTAACATAATAATCAAATTTGCCTTGTAATATTTCTGTGTGTGGAAGTGTGTGTGTGTGTGTGTGTGTGTGTGTGTGTGTGTGTGTGTGTGCACCCGTGTGTGCGATACTACATGGATGGAAGTCAAAGGATGACTTTCAGAACTCAGAATCAGTTTTCCTTTGTGGTCTAAGCGGTTGTATTTAGGTCATCAGATTTGAAAGAATGTACCTTTTATCTGCTGAGTCATTTTGCCAGCTCATCTAATAAGTTTTCAAGTATGAATGAGTTCCAAACATAAATTCTAGGGCTCCTAAGGAATCAGGCTAACTTATTTTATCGCTTCAGAAAGACCAGAAATTCAAGGCCAGTCTTGATTACAGAATGAATAGAAGGGTAAACCCGTGTCTCAAAAACATGAGCTGGGGCTGGCATTTCTGGTAATATGCTAGTCTAGTATCTATGATGCCCTGGATTCTATTCTTAATATGGAAAACAACAGAGTCAAGAGATCAGAAATTATACACATGTATTTTTTGTTGTTGAATTTGGTTAGTTTGGGTTTTTAGTGTTTTGTTTGTTTGTTTGTTTATATGCTTGCTTGCTTATTTTTGACAGAATCTCACACTTTAGACCAGACTGACCTGGAATCCATATTGTATGTAGCCAAAGCTACTTGAAAATGCTGAGAGAACCTCTTGCCTCAGTTTCCTGAGTGCTGCGGTTACAAGTATGAGATCCTCATACCTGGATAAATGTGATTAATATGTTGTTTTCCTTACATACACTGTCTTATACATTATAGGTTTGGCATAGTGCTTGGATTACAGGCCTGTACCCTTATATTCAATTTTATAGGAGTCTGGGAAACAAATCTAGGACCTGTACGTTATACAAGGCAATACTCTGAGTACTGAGCTACTTCCTGGTCCCATGCATATATGAACTGATATATCACTGTGAACTCATAAATATGCACAACTAATAATTAACAAAAGTCTCCAGGCCTGGTTGCAAATTCCTTTAATTTCAGTACTCTGGAGACTGGCACATGGATATCTGAGTTCCAGGCTTGCCACAGCTACATAGTGAGACCTTGTCACAAAAACAATTAACAAAATAAATATTAATAAGTTCAAATAGAATTATCATTAAAAGAGTCCATCTGGGTCTTAAAATGGAGCATGTTGGACTGGAGACAGTTAAGTATTTAAGAGTGCATACCTTTCTTCAGATAATAAGAATTTGGATCCCAGTACCCACATATGGCATTTATGGCATTTAACTATAATTCCAGGGGAATCTCTTGACTTATTCTGGCCACTGAGGCCACCTCCACACATGTACATATAACATGTAACCACATACATATAAATTCAAAATGAGTCTTACAAAAGGGAAGCTATTATCAAAGCAGGTAATATATATATATATATATATATATATATATATATATATATATAATGTATGCATACATATGTATCACAGACATATATACACATGCGTATATATGCATATTACATATACATATATTCACACACAACCTGCTGAATTTGTTTTTGTGGTTTGTGTGTATGTGGTTTCTAGGCCTACCACTCTCTACTGAACAACCAATAAGGGTACGTTTTGAATCTGTCTATATAAATCATAAATATATCAGGAGAGATTGTAAAAATGAGACTTAAAAGAAAGATAATGAAGGGACTCACATATAGCTGTGTTCTTGTTCTTCATTCAGAAGATTTCGGGTTGAAAATGATAGTTTTTTGAGTGTAGAACAATGTTTTAAGCAGTAGGCAGCAACAATAATGTCAGAGTAATTCTTAGCCACAAAGTTAATCTGTTCCACACAGTTCATTGCTTGTACTAAGAAGGCTACATCTTCCATCTCAAACAGACAGTAAAACAACTTCATGCCATCTATCTGTTCTTGAAGCTCTGCATTGTCACTTATGGTTTCCAGGCACTGATACAACAGATGCTTTACTTCCTGGGATATCTGGTGGCCAAAAAATGCCTCTAGCTTTTTTTGTTCCGATTCATGTAAAAGGCCAAAGATGAAACAGCCCCAAAAATTCCACTGTACATTGACTTTTTTTAGAAATGTAAACATGAGTGTCTCTATACTTTTAACATCCTGGGTAGGGTGGTCCATATGGCTCTTTAGCAGATAAAAGATGGCAGCACAGACTTCCTGGATAGATGGATGGAGGAAAACGTAAGAATTTTCAGATTCCCTGATATTTGCAAGCAGTCCAATGTCCAAAAGTGTGGAGATGTCAGAATCCATGATCCCATTTCTCCTGAGAGCCTCCTCGTCAAACACAAATGTGTCAGTCCACATGCCCTCAGCAGCTAGAGAACACAAGCCCTGCAGCTGGTCTTGGCTTTTCTTACTTGGAGAATGGGCACTTTGGGGAATGAACAAACTGAAAATGTGAGTGGTATACAAGGAGGTAGTACGTCTGCAGATGGAGACTGGATCTTTTCCCTTCTCTATCTGTTCTTTTAAACAGGTAGCCACCATCCAGCAGAGCACAGGGACTTGACATATAACGAACAGCTGCTCATTTTCTCTCACCAGACTGAAGACTTCCCGGGCTATGTCCCTATCTTGGAATAATCTGTGGAAACACACCTTCATGTTGCTCTCCTTAAGTCCCGTTATTTTTTTCACATGTGTGTACTCAATCATGTTACTTATTTTCTCAAAATTCTCTGGGGTAGTGGAAATGAGGAGAGAGGATTCAGGGAGCATCTTCCTCCTGAGCAAACAGCTCAGCAGTAAATTCACTGGCTGCTTCTCCATGCAGTTATCACACAGCTCCGATTCTCTTTTGAACAAATCACATTCCATCCCTTCTAAGCTGTCAATGATAAATAAGAGTTTCTCTGGTTCCGATAGTATCTCATCTATGGGAGCTGAGGGGCTGGGCCATTCTCTGGAGATCAGTTCAGCCAGGCTAGCTGTCTTCAACTGCTTCACTTCTTGACAGCAGAAGTAGAAGATGTAGGAGAATTTGTGTGGAAACACAAGGCCTTCTATCCAGGCCAGCATTAACCTCTTCAATGTCAGTGTCTTGCCAGTTCCAGCAACACCACTCAGGAACATGACCTGTGGCTTCGATTCACTTCTGTTTGATTGGAAAATGTTCTCAAAACAATCATAGTCATTCTCATTAATTTCCTCCTTTAAAAAATCCTGAATACTCATATGGAATACTCTGGAATTGTCATGGGTCAGCTTTGTCTTCAAATGAACTCGGTATAACTTTTGGTATCCTGAGTCAGTTAGCACAAGAGAAATAAATCCACAACATATCAAGATTAAGCATTCCCCCATATCTGACAATAACACTTTAAATATCAGAATAGATCATTTAAAAGTTAATTTTTTGTGTTGCTGGGTTCCTGTAGAGGTCAGAAGAGTTAAATCCCACCTCTACCCCCAGCTGAATTTACCACCGTCCATGAGTAGTCCCACATGGGTGCTGGGACTCATGGTCTTTTGCAAGAGTAGAACATGCCCCTAGCCACCGAGTTACTTTTTTCAGCCCCCTTATGATGTGTATGTTTTTATGAGTTTGTAATCTGTTGGCCCAGAATAATGCTAATTAAAGTGAGATTTTCACTAACGCTGGATCACAGTTGTATTTCTGTGTGTGTCAGGAAAGTTATACTGTTAAAACTGTCACATGCTCTTTCAAAAGCTGTCACTTGAAGTTGAGTTGTCCCTCTTCCTCATTTCAGATCCAACCATGTCTAAGTGTAGTGCTTTCTTGGGTTCTTGTCTTAGAACGTGCTGATCCCTAACTCTGCAACAGGAAGGGAAGGGAATAAAAGAGATAAACCGTAAAAATACTATGCCCTTGAGGCCCACTAAAATATGAATCATTTCAAGCATATTTTATGACTGTTTTCCCCATGATATAAAAGTGCCTCCAGTAGAAAAAGAAGGCTGACGTAGAACCAAGGGAACACAGCTCAATTGTGAGCTCCAACTGGTTCCAATTTTCCAATCTGATTTCTCCTGGGTGCTGGGAAAGTACAACTTGATGATGTTATGAGAGACTGGTTTGCTGATGTAACCTTCATAGCATTATATGTTTTTCCAATTGGGAATCTTGCTTGAGAGGATACTCTCTGCTCTGCTTGGGAACTCCAGTGGGCTGCATTAAAGAGGCTTCCCCAGTCAATTTCTATTGGATGGTTTGAGGGCCCAATTTGATGTTTTGTGATCTATCAGTCTGTCAGTCTGTCTATCTATCCATCCATCCATCCATTCATCCATCCATACATCCATCCTACCTACCTACATACCTACCTTTCTACTTTTGTCTCTATTATTTCTTATCTATTATTTACTTTGACTTGCATTATATTTAATGAATGTAATCATTGAAAGGCAAAATTTTTCCTGGATAATACTCTGGACCATATGGAACCCTGTGCTGTGAAGCTGCACTACTTGGATAGTAGAAACACCAGCCAGGTGTGGCAGAAGCATGGCTCTCTAAACTAAAATATCAGTGTCTGTTAACTCCTCCTATATACACAGATAAAGACACCTAAGAGAGTGTAAAAATACATGGTTGTCATGACAGCACGAAACTTAAAATTGGTATTACTATCAACAGAAGATTGACTACATGAAAACAGTTACTATCACACTGATATTAAATATATAAAATAATGGGGCTAACTGAATTAGCAGTTAAGGACACTGGCTATTCTGAAAGAGGTCTTGAGAACAGGTTATATCACATATATCAGGTGACTCACCACAGCTTATTACCAGCTTGAGAGGGCCTGGCCTCTGTAGGCACTGCACTCACACACAGAATCCCACACATGTGCATGCACATGTGATATTTTTGAAAAGGTGCCTTAAACATATTTTAACATACACAATCTCCCACATATATGGCAAGAAAGCAAAAACAGTACGGTTTAAAGTACCAGAGGGAACTAGTGGGAAAGAGAGAAGAGAGAGTCACAGTGGACAAATACTATGAGCAAACCACAAGGATACATACACACACACACACACACACACACACACACACACAAATTTATATTGAAACACTTTGTATGCCAAGTATAACAGTTTTTAAAAAAACATCTAATGAAAATAAAAGGCAGGTTGGGCAATCAGAAGAAACTAAAGAAAAACAAGGCAAACTGTATACACAAAAGGTCTTAATTTAAGAATCAACAGAAAAAGGCAGGTAAGATGCTTCAGAGATATTTGCCTTCAAGCCTGAGTACTTAAGTTTGGTCTATGAGACCCAAATGACAGGAGCAGAATTAACTCTCTAAGGTTGTTCTCTGATTTCTACTTGTGAACTATGGTATACAAATGAGTAAGGGTATACACACAAATAATACACGTAAGAAAAGTCAAAAGAAGCAAACAAGTGCATATTTTATTGATTAGAAATAGGTGAACAGAGAACGAAGGTCCCAAGGACTATTAGAAACAAAAGCTATTCTAAAGCACAGAGGAAAGGTCAAAAGAAATATACACAAGGCATCGTATGACGATCTAAAAGGTGGGGCTGAAGAGATGGCTCAGTGGTTAAAAGTACCCAGAAGACCTGGGTTTAGTCACAGGCATCCACATGACAGCATCCACATTCTGTAGGTTCAGATCTGATATATACCCTCTGGCTCTCAAAAAATAAATAGTCCATAAATAGTGCATGCAGGCACTCTCACATACACATAATATAGTTTCTAACTGTTCACATATATTTTAATCATGAATTAAAGACTTTTTATGCAGCTGTATTTCAAGAAGAATGTGAGAAAGAACAGCACTGAGACTATTTTTAAACAAATAAAAAATATGCATGATATGTACTCACTTATAAGTGGATACTATACATAAAGTAGAGGAAAACCACAGTACAATCCGCAAACCTAAAGAAGCCAAATAACAAGGAGGGCCCAAGGGAGGATAGTAGAATATTTCTTAGAAAAAGAAACGAAGTAGATATTAGAATTGGAAGGAGAGAGGGAACTGAAGGAGGGAAGATAGGGAGGGGATGTGTGTAGGGATATCAAGTATAGGGAGTGCAGGGGAGAGAGAACAGTAATCAACGGGGGGCAACTTGAGGATGTGTCAGAGACCTGGGATGGGGAGAGACCCCAGGGTGTCTATGAGGGTGACTCTAGCTGAGACTCCTAGCAGTTGAAAATATGAATTTTGAAGTACCAACTTCCTGGTGTCAGGCAGAACTCACAGTGGAGCAATAAGGACAGCAACCCATCCACAAAACTGTCAATCCAAAATGTGCACTGCTTACCAACAAGATGTTCAGAGAAAACAATAAAGCAGAAACCAAGACAATTGACAAGAAATGACTGCCCCAAATTGAGAGAATCCCATCAGCAAGAACCAAACTCTGACACTATTAATGATACTCCATTATGTTTGAAGACAGGAGCCTAGCATAACTGTCCTCTGAGAGGTTCCACCCACCAGCCAGTGGGAAAAGATGCAGAGACCTACAGCCTAACATTAAACTGAGCTTGGGGAGTCTTGTGGAAGTGTTTGGGGAACAATTAAGAGACCTGAAGAGAGCAGGGCCTCCACAAGAAGACCAAAAGAGTCAACTAATCTGGGCCCTTGAGGGCTCCCAAAAACTGAACCATCAAACAAAGAGCAAGCATGGGCTGGACCTAGCTCCCCATGCCCACAGCATGTATGTAGTAGCTGTGCAGCTTGATCTTCATGTGGGTCCCCCAATGACTGGAGTAGCTGCTGTCCCTTAATTTGTTGCCTGCTTGTGGATCCCTTAACTGGGCTGGCCTGTCTGGTCTCAGTAGCAGATGATGTGCCTAGACAAACAGTGACTTTATGTACCAGCGCAAGGTGGGAGGTGGGGGATACCCAGGGGGGTCTCCTTCTTAGAGGAAAAGGGAAGGGGGATGGGTAGCGGATATGTGTGATGGGTTAATGGGGAGTAGGGGGTTGATCTTGAGAAGGAAATTGAATTTTTTTAAAAGTAGGGAAAAAGAACAGCACAAAGACAACTTTTAAACAAATAAAGGCTGGAGTAAAGAATATTTTATAGCCATAGATTTAAGATTATCAGTGGATACCAAGCAGAATGAGCTTAGAAAAAAACCATACATCTAGGGTTATCATAGTAAGACACTAGGACATCAAAGACAAAGAAATGAATTCAACCTTAAAGCATCGATGATATTTTATACTAGGATAAATGTAAGTGTGACTTGTAAGGTCATAGCATTTATGAAACATCACTTTTCTGCTATAAGCTTTTGCTTGCTAAAGACCAAAACAGACACAGCCACAACAAAGACTGAAAAATCTTGTTCTACACTATATTAAATAGATGTTTCAAATTCATATATGATATGTATGTGGGAGGGAGAAGGAGGTACAATACATATGCATGTAGAGACCTGAGGTTGATATTGGGCATCTCCTTCAACTGTTTACCACTTAAGAAAAGAAAAGGTTTGTTTTTAATTTGGGTGAATGGATGCTTTTGTCTTCATGCATATATGTGGGCCAGATGTATGCAATGCCCTCAGAGGATAGAAGGCATTGGATCTCCTGAAACTGGAGTTACAGGTTGCTATGATCCACCAGGTAGGTTCTGGAAACTGAGCCAAGGTCCTCTGTAAAAGCAAGTGTTCCTAACCACTGAATCATCTCTTCAGGTCCTCCATCTCATTTTTTGAGACAATTTTTTATCTGGCTTAGAAACTGCCAAGCTGACTGGCCAACATGCTACCATCCCTTGCTTGTATGTGTTTGCTGAGATCTAAAGTCAGTTTTTCATATTTATACAGCAAGCAGCTTACAGACTCAGCCACCTTCATAGACCCTATGAATATGATCGATTACAGGTGTTTTCTGTTGCTGCTAACCTAAATGCATAGCGCTACCATTTCACTATAGAGTTAAGGCTACAGTTTAGATTCAAAGGAACATTACTCATGTCCTGTGTAGAAGTTTAACCAACTAGTTTAGCACATGATGCACTGATACATTTGACCTCACAGACTAGATCTAATGTGTCTACATGAAGCTACCTCCTTCCTCAGGGAGATTATCCCACTCCACCTGCTGGCCCTATGGTAGATGCACATGAAAAGGTTATCAAAACTAAGACATGATTCTCACTTCCTGTAAAGAAGTTTTCACCAACTCACCATCAATCTCTCTTTTTGCTCTCTCTATGAGATCCTTCCTATTGATCATCTGGAAAAATCTGAAGGTCATATCCCAGGCTTGCTTCTCTTCATAATGTTTCAACAGTAAGTTGGCAAGGTCTTGCCGAGATGCCTTCTTCACTTCTGTCCAAGAAACCCGTTTCATCCCCAATTGCAAAATCTCCTGTTTGAGGAACTCCTTAAACTTTACAAATTCCTTCTTCTTTAGCTCTTCCAAGTACCACATAAGGCCAAAATCAGAAAAGAAAGAAGCCATTGTGTCTTAAGGAAGACTCGTCTTCGGAGAGATGAATATCAGGATGAAAAAAAAAAAAAACAGTTGGGATCTGTGGGAAAATCAGGCAAGCAGTTGAGTTACATAATTAATTAAAATTAAACAGAGGTCAAAGGGGGATGTTTAAGCTGATAAAGTGTTTGCTGCACAAGTTTAGGGACGTAAGCTGGATCCACATTATTCTTGTAAGAAGCAGGGTGTGCAGCCACAGAACCTTTAACCTACTGTATGTCTGGCTTACAAGATATGCAGGAACAATGGGGACCTAAAACTTGTGGGAGTGGACAACCAGTGACTGGTCCAACTTGAAACCCATAATATGAGAGAGAACCCATACCTGGCACTACATGAATGGCCAGGAACCACTGGCTAGGCAGCCCAGACACCCATGATAGAAGCAAACACAACTGTCCAGAAATATAAAAGTCAATGAAATGATGTCTAATGATTCTTCTGCAATATTCATAGGTTGGGGCCTGTGTCAATAATCATCAGAGGCACCATTGAGCAAGTGAGAGAAGCAGGTGCAGCTACCACAGCCAAAAAGTAGGTGAAGCCAGGAAAACCCCCAGAGAAGAGAGAGAAGAAGGATTTCAGAAGCCAGAGGGGTCAAGGACATCATGAGAACACAACCTACACAATCAACTAAACAGGGCTCATAGAGGCTCAAAGATCCTGAAAAGACAGTCATCAAGCCTGCATGAGTCTGTACTAGATCTTTCAATAAATGTTACCGTTATACAGCTTGGTGTTTTCATGGGACCTCTAACAGTGGGAGGGGGGCTGTCTCTGACTCCTTTTTATGGATTTGACCCTTTTCCTCCAAATGGATTGCCTCATCCAGCCTTGATAAGGGTTTGTTCCTAGTCTTATTGTAGTTTCTTATATTGTATATTTTTAAAGGGAAACAAAGGAGGAATGGATCTAGGAGAGAGGGAAGGTATATGTGAGAGGGACTGGGATCTGTGCAAGTAGGAGAAACTGCTTTTGGAAACTAATGTACATAAAGAAATAAAAAGATGCAGAGTGTGATGGCAAAGCCCTGTAATCTTAGCACTTGGAAGGCAGAAAAAAAAAAATCCCTGTGGCCTCATGGCCAGCTTCTCTAGCCGAATTCCTTGAGTTCTAGTTTCACTGAGAAATTTTGTCTCAAGAATCAGGTAGCACACTATTAATTATGGGTGATAAATAACGGCAGGGACTTTTTCCATATGGGGTCATGTTAGGTCTCATCCCATTAAAAGGCTCATTAAAACAACATGGTTGATCTCAACATTCCTAATGCTATAACCTTTTAATACAGTTCTTCATGTTTTGGTGACCTCCAACCAGGAAATTACTTTCGCTGCTTCTTCATAACTGTAGTTTTGCTACTTTATGAATAGTGATGTAAATATCTGTGCCTTCCTATGGTCTTAGGTGACCCCTTTGAAACAGTGATTCATCTGCCCAAAGGGTTGTAACCCACAGGTTGAAAACTATTGCAACAAAACTTAGAAAACAACAAAGTGAGTTTTACTATTCTAAAGAGTTACTGATGGAGCTGGAGTTATCAGTTAAGAGACTTTGATGCTCCTGCAGAAGACCCAGATTTAGTTTCCAGTACCCATACTGGTGGGCTCATAGCTGTCTGTAACTTTGTCTCAATGGGATCTGACACCCTTTTATGAACTCTGCAGAAAAGGTACACATGTTGTGCTCCTACATACACTCAAGCACACACAAACACATGAGTAAATGTTAAAAGAATTCCTGCTACCACTAACTCTGGTGATAATAGGAGAAATGCTAGTATACAGGTGCTAGTATATAAGTAAATAAATATTACAATGTTATTATGATAAAAGTATTATGGTACATGATACACTGTTATAAAACAGCTATACTATATAAACAGCTGAATCCAGTGCTAAAGGCCTGGGATTCCAGCTACTTCAGAGGATGAAGTCAGAGGATTAAAACATCATGGTTTGCCTACAAACGTAGTGAAGTCAAGCCAAGCACAGGCAACTTAGTGAAACTCTGTCTCGAAAAACGTGGTTAGAAGTACTGACTGCTCTTTCATAAAACTCGGCTTCATATTCCAGTACCCTTATAGTGGCTTACAATGATAGTGAGGTGCAGCTCAGGGGTTAAGAGTACCTGGTAATCATGCAGAGTACCTGACTTTAGTTACCAGCATCTATAGCAGATGACTCACAACCACCTATGACTCCAGTTCAACAGCATGTGATACCTTTTTCCCTGAGCAGTACTCACTCATGTGGTTCACTGACAAAAGTCTCATATACATAAGTAAATAAGTAAATAAAGCAGATATTATATTCAAATTATATAAAAACATAAAAAGAAGGCTGATTTATGGATCAGTGGTAGACTGCTTGTATAGTGTGTGCACTGCACTAGATTCAGCCTTCAGTACTGCAAAAACAAAAACATCTGATATGGCAAAATCATCCAAAGGAAGGCTTAACATCACTAGGATATAGAAGAATTTTAACTGTAAGACAAAAACACAGAAAGGAGGACCCTCACCAGATATCAGAGGCAGAAGTAATAGAATGATGAAAAAATATGAAAATTCTTAACCTATATCCACCTATCACAGCTCTACAATCTAATGGAAATAGACTTATATATAAGGAATGGGAATGTACATGAAGGAGTGTCCTGTCAACAAATGGTACTAGAACAACACAGTCTACGTGCAAAATAAAATGATCTGGTTCCATCAGTATGACACCTGAGGTTGTCTTCTGGTCCTCACATACAGTTGTGCACACACATGTATTCATACTCATGAAAAGATGCTAAACATTATTCATCATTAATAGTATGAAAATAAAAACAATGAGATATCCTTATATACCTAAGGAAATGAGCAAGGGACTGTGGATGTGGCTCTGATGGAAGAATGCTTGACAAACAAGCAGCCAGCTCTGGTTCCATTCATCACATGCAGATGGAGAAAGGAAGGGAGGGAAAGAGGAAGGGAGAGAGGGAGGGAGCAAAGAAAGGAGGGAAAGAAGGGGAAAAAGGAAGGAAGGTAGAAAGGAGTATAAAACCCACTCCTGGGTGGCCTTAGGATTCATATTCAGTGGAAAGAGAAAATCAACTTGTATAAGCAGGTCTCTGCCACCACAGACACTCCTAGGGATGTATACAACTCTATGTGTATACCCACTCACAAAAAATATAAATGTAATAAAAATTACAAGTATACATGTATTTTCATTCCATACTTGACTTTTTAAGATGTAAATTCAATGTAAGTTGAGATATCTATCTATCTGGAAAGAGCATTACTGGACCCTTTGAAATAACTGATGAAACCATCAATTGACTAACTATATCAAGAAGCCCAAAGGGATACATTGCCCAACATGTAGACTCTTTAGAGGGAAACTAAGGAAAGAAGACACAGAAAAATTTGGAGACAATTCCAGAGGACTAGGTAGGGCTTATAGATGGCTGGCACTGAATTGTGGTGATGTGAGGAAGGGCTTGGCGAAGAAAGATACTATGCTTTAGAGACACAGTCTCCTGTTTTGACTGATAAAATAGTCAAAAGTCAGACCCACTGACAAGAACCTAAAAGTCCACTGATACTGTACGTGTTCTTCAAAGGACATAGTATCCAAGACGATAAATGAACTGTCATCACTTTGTTCTAGGTCATGCCTTTCTGAAGACATCCCCACTAAGTATAACAAACAATAATAATCTGTGTTTACTTCTGGCTAAAATAGATTTTCAACTTGTGGTCATGACCCCTTAAGGATCAAGTAACCCTTTCACTGGGGTTGCATATCAGATATCCTGCATATCAGACATTTTCAGTAAGACTCATAAAAGCAAATTTACAGCTATGAAATAACAATGAAAAAAAATGTATGGTCAGGGGTCAAAACAATTTGTGGAACTGTATGAAAGGGACAAAACATTAGGAAGGTTGAGAATCACTGAGCTAACATAATATGTAACTTTGATTCTCTACCACTCTTTTCTCCTGTCCTAGAAGATACTCCTCCTAAAGTCATCTTAAACCTAAAAAGTATTGTGAGAAAATTCCTTTAACTTTTAACCGCATTACAAATAACATTCTTCTCTAAAATATTTGGATTCTTTCTCATGTATATGTATTTGTACATGTGTTGATATGTGATTTGTGTTTGTATGTATGTATGTATGTATGTATGTATATATATATATGTGTGTGTGTGTCTGTGTCTCTCTCTCTCTCTGTGTGTGTGTGTGTGTGTGTGTGTGTTTAGAGGCCAGAAAACAGTATTTATCGTCTGGAGCTGGAGTTTAGAGGCAGCTGTAAGCCACTCATGTGGGAACCAAATATGGATCCTCTGGAAGAGCAGCAAACATTCTTAATCACTGAGCTGGCTCTCCAATACCAAAAATTACACTCCTTGGTAAGCATTAGAAAGAAGTGAGAGGGTCATGGAGGTGGCCATACTTCTTAACAACCTTGAGAGGTCTAACTTGGGAGCCACCAAGTTCCAATCTGTACCCACTGCAAAGAAATTGTCCCTGAGTCTCTCTAGAGAATCCAATTTCCTATCTATCTCTCTCTCTCTCTCTCTCTCTCTCTCTCTTTCTCTCTTTCTCTCTCTCTCCCCTGTAGTATTTTTCTATTTTAATAAATGGAATTAGGCTTCACATCTGCCTTGCTCTGAAATTAATTTCTTCGTTTCTTTGTTGAAGCCACAAATCCTAGTTTTGCCTGGGTGGATGGGAGTTGGTGTCTCTGAAAAGAATTCCTTAGACAATTGCCAGTGTTGTGTGGAGC